GCAGGAGCTGGGTAGAGCTGAAAATAGGCTGAGGGTTAAACAGTGAAGCTGGTTGTCAGCAAAACCTGGGCAAAAGCAAAGACAACTGTAGCAGTAACAAGCTCAAGACATGTTGGTGCCCAGAGGCGACAGAACACCCCGACACCATCACAGTTGCCAGAAATGGGCTCTACTAGAAATGTCCACAGATTCCTCTTAGAGATGGGCACCCTACAGTTGTTAAAACAGCCAAGGAATGATATATTTAGTTCTCTATTGGACTGCTCCCTCCAGACAAAGCCAGCTTTAACTGCAAGTGCTCCAGCCCTTATCACTGTGGGATTTGGGGGGTGGGGGAGGAGATGGAGGTTACAGGCAATAACAGCAAACAAGAGTATATCAATTTTTTAATCAAGTATGTGAGTTATTTGCAATTCATTAAGAGCAAGAATCTGGAGCTTCTAATGGCTGGAGCAGCCACTGTGCCCATGTCCCATGTTGTGGTGGGCAGAGCCGGTCAACACACACCAGGTAGTGATTCCCTCTGGCTATAACAGAGCAGAGAGGAGATGCTCCAGCTGGAGAGCTACTACACAGTTTCAAAAGCACCTATGAATGTAAACTACTGAGCTTAGGGGTGACCATCATCACCTAAGGGTGATCATAGAGGACTTCTTGTTCTAAGTACGTCACTGGCTCCAACCCTCAGAGCACCCTAAGGTTTTCCAACAGGCAGCACCAGTGTTAAGGTTGAGAACAGAACAACCAGGCACACAGCAGTCGTGCATATTTTATGCTTTCTAGACCAAGATGAGCACAAACTTTAATTGAAAGTGATTTCACCCTTTAAGGAAGAGCAAAACCAAGCACAGATTTTTCAAATCCCACCGCAGCACCACACAGGCTTTGGTTTGCTTTATTCCAGCAGAGGGCAAAAGCTACACGAGGAACAGCATTCGAGAAGACAATGAGGTCTGAGTAACAGGAAAAGTTAAAGAGGAGTATCCTGACTCTTGTCACCTAATATAACTTATTGCAGGTTCTGCCCAGCTCTAACAATAATATGTGATACAACAACTAAAGCTTCTCTTCATGCCTTAAAAAAAAAAAAAACAAAAACAAACCCAACACAGCAGAGTTCACTCATCACTTTGATGATACATATTTCCCATCTCCTCAGCCTGCACGCACTCATTTGTTTCACTAAGTTTCCAGTGAACTGCTTGGAAAGATGATCTGAACTGACAGCAACTCCATTGCACAAATTGACAATGCTGTACTTCAACGCGTAAGACGCCTCCGAAAAGCATATGCAGAAAAAATACACTCAGGTTCCTTCAGTTCAACACTCAATAAATAGCGATATAGATGTAAAGTAGCAATTTTGTTCCATTCACTGGACAAATACACAGAAACATTGGGACTGCACGATTATTGGGGGATGTAGTTAAGAAACTGCTGGTTTTGCAGATCGTGTGGCCTTATTGAGCTATAAAGGAGGTAGCGAAGGGCTGATTTGAGCTCTTGAGCGTGGCTAGATTATCCACGTGGCACTTACCACTCTGGTAGAAATATCTGGATGGCCACATTAACAGCAATAAACAACCATACTAGTCTTTGTCACACCTCTCTTCAATACATTATGTTATATTAAAATACAGTCCCTTTGTCACATTGCTTTTGCCTGAAACAGCCGAGCAGCTAGCTGTCAGGAAAACAAACAAACAAAAAAGTCAAAGTCTTTTCATCTCTGGGCACTTTTAGGGGTCACACTGTTTTACATTTTAGGTGCCAGTGTGGCAGCTTATATTTGACAGCATGTGTCAGCTATAAAAAAAAAAGGGTCAGAAACTACAGACTGCATCAGTTAAGTTTTACATTTACTTCACCGTAGTATTTAAATATGGCACTGATTTATTTTTTTTTTAGTATCAATGATTGCCATCATTTAATTAATATGAATGAAATTAAGGAAACTACAACGTGATACGAACATCAAAAAAACAACCCAACCAACATTGCAAGAGTAGAAATATCTCCCAAGGGACATAATGAAATCTTCCATCTTTTGATTCCTTTAATATTAGATAGGACAAGCCCTGGGAAGCCACTACTGGGAGGGCTGGGGAATCCTGTAATAGACTGTGGGAATGGATTGACATGATCTGCCTACACCAATCTTTTCTGTCTTTAATTGAGGTAATTCTGTGGTGATCCTCTAGGCAAGTTTATGGATGTCAGCATATTGTTGGTATAGCTATTAACACATAAATATTCAGCTCTGACATTTCTTATCAGCTAACTATAAATTTCTGCCAGGCTGCTTCCCTGCAACATTTGGCAAATGAACCAGCTTTGATCAGAAGGTAATTTATTGCACGTTGGGGTTCAGTGTGTGTGATCACTGAAAATGACAGATGAACAATCAACAGTTTGAGGAAATAGTAGAAATCTCAACATATTTATACACACAGATGAAGATGACATCTCTAATGCAAACATTCACAAGCAGGTGGGTTGTTTTTTTTTTTTTATTACTACACAAATCACAAGGGCTGATAAACCCAGGGGCCAACACCCTTAACAGCAGGAACACAGAGACAGGCTGCCTCCTCATCCCACAGGCAGCTCGCTATTCCAGTAAACTGAGTTTCTAAAACACCAAGTAAGCATTCTTCTGCTGAGAGGGGTTTAGGCTACCTACAGTGCAACCCAATGCAGATTTAAACTAGCTCATTTGGGCAGCAGTAGTTATGCAGTTGTAATGGGATGGACTGCAAAAGTAACATAAGACTCTGAATAAATCCCTAGAGAACTGGCCCAAGGTGGCTGCAGCTGATTTAATACCAGCTCTGACTGAAGCATGAACATATTTGTATAAGCCTAGCTTTTGAGATGCTCTCCTAAGCTAAGAGCCTCACCCCAGGCTTCCTAGAGGAAGCAGCCAGTGGGCAAGAGACGCCTCATAACTTTGAAGAAGGGTGCCAAAAAAATTAAAGTCCTGGTTATGCCAGGCTTTGCTATTTGTTATGCTACCTTTGAGTCATTTGGGGTTTTTTTCTATACTTGGGGTTCTTCTGGATAAAATATATTCCCACTTCTAACACATCTGCTTTTAGAGGCTAATTTTGCCCAGTGAGCACTCTGTAAGTGAAAAGTGTTGCGCTGCTGCTAAGTGCACAGCAGTAGTTGATTCAAACTTATTTGCTGTGAGGAAAAAATAAACTTGCATAAATGTTGCTACAGAGCTTTACAGTTCACAAAAGCTTTGAAGACAGAATCACTTCTAAAACTACCAAGAAGACAGCACGCTGTTCAAGCACCGGTCTTCAGCTAATGCAACTAACCGGTGCTGTGGCCTCATAATAAATTTACCAGGAGACAAATGCACTTCCTATTGACCCTTACTAAATCTTTAAGCAAACATCTTTGCAATCTTTTCCAGCCATCTTTCAGGGAAACTCATCCCTTTTACTATTGCACCAACTCAAATGAGTATAACCAAAGGCAAAATGTGTTCAACAAAACCAAAGGTGTAACGGTGCAGAAGACAGACAAGCTGGGAGCATGGCCCAGAAGCTATTAGTTAGCCTAGAGGTTCAGCATAAATTGTCTTGACGTGTATGAACAGCCTAGAATATCAGAAAAGGCAAGTAGCAGCACTTTTATCTGCAGTTCAGCTTTTTAATTATCTAAACAAAAACTAAGCACCAAAGGCCACTGAAAGGTTTCTCCCCATTTGCCCCTATTAAGCTAATAAAGAGAACCAAAGGGTAAAACAATTGAGGTGAATTATGATACTAGGACATGAAACCACCAAAAATGTCTTTAGACACTGGGGAATCCTGCAGAGAGCACTCCCACCAGCAGTATTTTATTTGACAGCAATCTAAATCAAGACATAGGTCTCTAACAAGCTGTAACCCAGATCCAACAGCCAATTTGAGTCAAAAGAGCAAGGGCTTTCCTTTAATTCCAGTAAAACTAGCCTTGACTGTTACTGGAGAAGAGCCTATAAAGAGAGTTGACTGGAGTACTCTTAGCAATGTAAGTTACACCAGAGGAGGAAAAGATGGGGCCAGGTTCCTTCTGCTACCAGAGCAGGCAGGCCAAAACCAGGATGAAGAGTAGAGTTGAACGTTTAAGAGCAGTAACTTCTTTTTTAAATTGATTTCCCACTACCTTGTTTTTCTCAGCCAGCTCTTGCCATCAAACCCTGTGTCCTGGCACCCCTCTCAGCAGCAGCCACCTCCACTTTCACCAAGGCTAACTCTGGCATAAAGGCAAGTAGCCAGTCACCCTCCATTTGGTCTATGCCTAAAATCAGGGCTAGGCGTAAGCAGAAGGAAAATATAGATAGAATTGCTATTTTAAGGAAAGAAGTTGAAGAAAGGAGGTGGGAGGAGAATAAAGAAGGGCAGCAAGGAGAAAATAGACCTGAGACCCTAAGCTTTGCCTTTTGGAGTAATTAAGCAGCAGGACTCAAGTTCATTTGCAGGCCCTGTTGAAGTCAGTATTTAAGTTCCAGCTGAGCCTAAAAGGAGCCAGGATTTCTGGTTCTCTCACAATTTTTTACATGCACCTTTCTCATACAAAATAGAAACTTCCCCTTGACCAGGGTGGAAACAATTGCTTTTGAAGACAAGCCTACGCATTCGAGGTCAGAACAATGCAACATGACATAGGAAATGCTCCTTCACCAGGACTGACAGACCAGCTCTGCCAGAAGAAAAATTCAAAGGCTGTATGCCTTCCTGATAGCCATTTAAAACAGGATTATGCACCACAGCAGCTGTGCTAAACAGCCACAACACATTAGCAAATTCTTAGCACCTAAAAGAGACAAGAATGCAGACATAGCACTCCTTCCACAGTATATCACTGTACAATTGCCTGTCCCAGGAGACAGAGCAGCCCAAGGCACTCACAGAATCAAGAGAAAGGGAACTTTCATTAAAAGAATATACTGACGCACACAGTAGTTATTTGAAAAACATAAAAATAGTAAAGAAACACCATACCTCAAATACTGCCCAGTGCTTTTCCAAGTTAGAGCTGCTACACGATCAAGTTGAAACAGATTAAGTGTCCTTTCAGATGCTTAACTTCAGCACGATAACAGAGCTTATCGTTATCTTAACTGAAGGAGGCAGAGAAATGCAAACAAGCTCAGCATGAGAAGCAGGTGCAGACAATTCAAGGTCCGAATCAGATACGGCTAGAAAAGGCAGGTTCTCATTTTCAGTTGGTTTAGGGTCAGCTGGTCACCTGCGGGGAGAGGGGGCTTTATTGTTTGCACCTGAGGGCTAACTAGAATCCTCCTCCCCCTGCCTGCCCTTCCTCCACTTGCCTTGTGCACCTTGGATGGGTGTCCTCACTGACTCACAAGAGATGTGCTATGTTATTCGCTCCTGGTTTTCTTTTCCTGATACCAATCTGAGAGTATTTGTGGATTTGTCTTTCCTGGGCCCCTAGAGGAGAGTTTCTTGCAATTTAAATATATATTGCTTTTGTTTTTAATGATTTTGGGGTGAGATATGTTTTCTTCTGCAGACTCTTCCTATATTACGCTGCTCTACTATCTGACCAGGATTTCTAAATAGAGTGTGAGATGGTTTTTACTTGCCTTATGCAAATTGCACATTCCAACTTGAGCTGAAGACATCACTTGCCAAGGAAAGCAGTGCCATGAGGTCAGTGTTCTTACAGAGCACTGTAAAGACAGATAAAACCAACTCAAAGAAAAATCAAAGAACTGATTGTTATTCTTAGCAAGAGAACTTAAAAAGCTGACCAGACACAGCAGAATAAAACTGAGATCACATAGTCAAGAATTGCACAAATGTTTCTGAGGCCTCATTAAGTGTTAGCCACTTCAATAAATGCTGTGAAAGGGAGTAGAGATATAGATTTTATGGACCAAATCTCCACAGTTTTACACTGCTCACAAGGAGAAAGTCCCCATGCTTGCAGGCAGTAAGTCACAGTTTTATTTCATGTGGATATAGCAAAGGCCACTGGGTTCAAAAGATGGTACACAGCACCTCTGCACAGTGACTGACCTGCTCCTTTTCTGGATGAAGCTGCAGAAGAATGGAGATTGTACATTCAGATTCTCCACAGTTTTATACTCTGGATAAACATTTACAACTCCGCAAAGAGGCTGTAAAAACCTGCTGGAGCAGTATAATTGTTTTACACAAACTCTGTGGAGAGGCAGTTGACTGCCTGTAGCACCTGGGAATAGGAAATGGGGCTGTTGGGCTCTTCAGCCAGACATTTGTTGCTGCCCTGTGGGAGATCCAGGTTTTGGGGAGCACTAGCAGGAGCAGGTCCCAGGTTTCTCACCTGGAGGACTGCATAGGGCATCACTCCAAGGCAGGAGCACAACCACAACCAGTTGGCTGCCTCTTTCTCTTATAGAATCACAGAATGGTCAGGTTGGAAGGGACGTTGGCTGCCTCTTTCCCTTATAGAATCATAGAATGGTCGGGTTGGAAGGGACCTTAAAAATCATGGAGTTCCAACCCCCCTGCCATGGGCAGGGACACCTCCCACTAGAGCAGGTTGCTCAAAACCCCCGGCACACCCAGGCAGTGATAAGGTACAGCAGCACACAAGACAATCTATACAATATTTGGTTTTGAAAGAGTCCCACTGCCTTTTCAGAGAGAAAATCTCCATTTACGATGCCTGCAGGAACTCAGTGGGACTTTCTGGGTGCTGGAGAGCATGAGGAACGAACCCAGCTCCCAAGTAGCTGCCTGTCCCAGCTGTAAGGAATCACTAAGCTTGTGACACAGCTGCTGGTTTAGGCCACACAATTTCTCCCTTCTCATGATGAGACCCTTCTCATCAGGGTCTGTGAGCCCTGACTGAGTCCTGAACTCAGCATCGGATGGAAATTCCTGCCTTAGACCATACTTTGCTTCTGTGAGCAGCAGCTGCTCTTATTTTCCAACTTATGCTCGAGTCAAGACTCAGTAAGGTTACCCATTTCTTGCCTGTTTGAGGGAAACCCTACTTACACTCGAGTCAAGACTCGAGTTACCCATGGTTACCCATTTCTTGCCTGTTTGAGGGAAAGGTCTCCCTGTGACTGCTGACCTCTGAGGACTGCAGCTCTGCAGGTGAGGTTCTACTGCGCTTGGAATTACTTTGCATCTTTTCAGCACAACTCTCAGGTTTCTAAAAAGCACAGCCCATTGCTCATCTTTTCTCCTGTGCCTCTAAAAGCATAATCCACTGCTGTACCTCTCAGCTAGGATTTCTGTATAGAACAGTGTTACCAATGTATGACTTAGTTGCACCTATGACTCACGGCAGAAGCCTCTCATGTGGACTGGCCCAATTAGCAGGTTCCTGTACAGTTTCCCATGGCTCACATTTAAGGGCATCTTTCAGATATTTTTGAAAAGTACAGCCTTGGTGCAATACCATCAAAGCAGCATCACACTGTAAGGTTGAAACAGCAGTTTTTCTTCCAAGACTGTTTTTCTGTCCTCCTTGAAACACAGTAACTTCTGCCTCCTCCGAGGAAGCGCTGTCACGCTTTCCTCCTTAGTGTGGATTTTGTCCTACACTGTAAGGTTGAAACAGCAGTTTTTCTTCCAAGACTGTTTTTCTGTCCTCCTTGAAACACAGTAAATTCTGCCTCCTCCGAGGAAGCGCTGTCACGCTTTCCTCCTTAGTGTGGATTTTGTCCTACTGCTGAGCGTAACAGCTCTAAGAAAATCATGCAACTCCACGAAAAAGCTAGAAAAAACATTTGTGTTGGAAAGACCTAGAGTTTAAATATGAGCTTTCAAGCAGTGTGCCCTCCGAGTCGGTATTCTACCTCCTCCAAGGAAGCACTGTCACGCTTTCCTCCTTAGTGTGGATTTTGTCCTATTGCTGAGTGTAACAACTCTAAGAAAATCATGCAACTCTATGAAAAAGCTAGAAAAAACTCATCCTGAGGTGGTGGAGTCACCATCCCTGGATGTGTTTAAGGGACATTTAGATGGGGTACTGAGGGACATGGTGTAGGGGAGGACTTTGTAGAGTAGAGTAGAGAAAGACCTAGAGTTTAAATATGAGCTTTCAAGCAGTGTGCCCTCCGAGTCGGTGGGCTAAGCAGACAGGGTCATCTTGATGCACAATTTACACCACGTGTACCCCACCACGCCTGCCCAGAGCAGCAGCTTCTCAAGGACACTGCAGTGTGTACACAATACCCATGATGTGACATCAACTAAAAAGTCCTTTCATTGGTCATACCACAGCTGCCCAGAGCAGCAGCTTCTCAAGGACACTGCAGTGTGTACACAATACCCATGATGTGACATCAACTAAAAAGTCCTTTCATTGGTCATTACAATTATCGACATTCAAGCATTTTTTGATTCATGTGTAGTACATTTACTATTTCCTATTTATTATATATTTATTTAAGTCTTTCAGGATTGGGTTATTCTCTTCCTGCAAAAAAAAGCTGATCAGGTCCAGAAAATGATACTTCCAAACCAGAAGGTAGGCTACAACGCTGCAGCACGGCCCTCCAAGCTGCACTGGAGATGGTGTTCACCGTTCAGGTGAATTAGCTGCTAAAATACACCCCAAAATTTGTCTCAAAAAAAGTCCTCTCTCAGGAACTGCAACACCTACACTCTCACTTGCTGCTCTTCCCTTTCAGACAAATCCAGAAATCTCACACAGCCTTCACTCCTTAACTGCACATCCAGAGCTGAATAACTCGGGGCTGACAGACACCCCCTGGACACCTGACTTCTCAAGTGTTTGAAATAATCACAGAATCACAGAATCTTCATGGCTGGAAGGGACCTTTGAGATCATTGAGTCCAACCATTTAAAAAAACCAACAACAACAACCAACCAAACAAACAAACAAAACCACACAACACCAAAACAAAAAAACGAACACCACAACAATCATCACACCCAACAATCCGGGGCACTAGAGCATACCAACAACAACCAACCAAACAAACAAAACCACACAACACCAAAACAAAAAACCCAACACCTCAACAATCACCACACCCAACGATCTCAAGCACTAGAGCCTGCCCTGAAGTGCCACATCTATACATTTCTTCAATCCCTCCAGGGATGGTGACTCCACCACCTCCCTGGGCAGGCCGTTCCAGTGCCTCGAACACCACAACAATCATCACACCCAACAATCCGGGGCACTAGAGCATGCCCTGAAGGGCCACATCTACACTTTTCTTCAATCCCTCCAGGGATGGTGACTCCACCACCTCCCTGGGCAGGCTGTTCCAGGGCCTGACCACCCTCTCAGGAAAGTCATTCTTCCCAATATCTAATCGAAACCTCCCCTGCCCCAACTTCAGACCATTCCCTCTGATCCTGTCATTATTCCCTTGGGAGAAGAGGCCAACCCCCACCTCTCTCCACCCTCCTTTCAGGGAGTTTAGAGGGCAATGAGGTCTCCCCTCAGCCTCCTCTTCTCCAAGCCAAACATGCCCAAATCTAATATCTCCTCAAGATGGCAAAAACAACTGCACATTTTTAGTACCGAGACAACCTCATTTGACACCAGACAGACTACGTAATATCTCCTCAAGACAGCAAAAACAACTGCACATTTTTAGTACCAAGACAACCTCATTTGACACCAGACAGACTACTTTTTTTTATTATGAATAGTTTCTGAATCCCTCAATTTGCTTTGATGGGAAGAGTTCCTATTCTGCCGCTGAGAGTCAGGACCTTGCCCATAAATTATGCTAAAGCCACTATCTGTAACAAATGCTCAGATTTACCAGCAGTCATAACCTTCACCAGTCTCATCCTCTATGCTTTGGGAGTCAGGGTATGTGTCCAAAACGTAGTGGGGCCTGTGAGGTGAAGCTTTATTTCAGTTGGCTTGGGTGCACAGGGCTAGCTGTAAAATGCTCCAGTGGGGCCTGTGAGGTGAAGCTTCATTTCGGTTTGGGTGCACAGGGCTAGCTGTAAAATGCTCCTGAGAAGCAAAGTAATCCCAGGCAGAATTCCCTGGAGCCACAGCCAGCTTTCTTGGTTATCTCTGCGGGGCAGTATTTCGCAGTGCAGATGCACTGGCAGTTTCAGGCAAAAATGCTTCCATGTAGTGGGCGCAG